TTAATAAAAAAAATTAATCAATATTTACATCAAATTCTATGAAAAAATAAAGAAATAAAATGTTGAGTTAATGAAAGATTAGTTATCTAAATATCTTTAGCTTAAAAGAAAAAATGATTTATATTTAATTTATATACCTATAAAATAATAACACGTACAAATAAAATTTAAAAACAAAAAAATAATATATTATTAAAAAATATAAATGAGGGGTGTAATTTATTTACAAATTCTAAATTTGTGTTTTTTTCCATTTATAGCATGGTTATAGCATTAGGTATATAAGCGTTAAGCGGAAAATTATTCCCCAGAAAAAAAATCCTTGGAAAATAATTACCCATAAAATATTAACCCGGAAAAAAATTCCCATAGAAAATAATTCCCCGGAGAATATTTCCCCGGAAATAAATTACCCATTTTTTAGATTTTAAATTAAATATGGGGGAAAATTAATCCTCGGAAAAAAAACCTGAAAAAATTCCCCGAATAATTTTTTTTAAATTATCAAAAAATAATCCCGCCGCTAAAATAACGAAAATATTTCTAAAAAATTATATTAGTATTTTCTGAACGTTGAGATTATTTCTTTTTTAATTCCAAAAGGGCAATCTTTAAATGAGAATTGATAAATCGGTTGGTATCTTTTATATTTTATAATTTGGTAGATAGCATAAAAAGTATAGATTTGTGGCGATAAATTTTTATAGAAATATATGAAAATTATTGTTGTAATTGTTGAAAAAAGAAGAAATAAATTTAATATAATACATAAAATGTCAGTTATTTTCTGACAGGGGAATTTAGTTTTCCTTGGGGGAAGAAGAAGAAATGAGGATCACGGTGTGTTTTATTGTTAGGAAAAACCCCTAGTTGGAGATTGGGAGATATTGGATTAATGGTAGAAGATGTCAGCTGTGGACCTTTGGAAAATGAAGAATTGGATAATTATGATTTATTATATTATATTATTTTTAATGGATAGATTGTTGTTGTTTTATTATGGATAAAGATAATTTTGAATAAATGGGTTATGTTAAATATGGATCGTCGTTAATGGTCAATGTTATATAATTGAGAGTAAAAGGCATTTTTGTTATATCAAAGTTAACTTGTAAAAGTGTTGCCAGCTGACCAGGATCTAAAGAGTGGATTGATTCGTTTTTAAAGTAAAACAAAATTTTTGTTGTATATATATTATACGATAGATTTTGACAATGCATAAGTACTAACCACTATACAGGAGGAGGTGAGATTAAGGGGTGAGTTTAAGGATTTCTATACTTTTATATTTAACTTAAAAGGGTGTAAGATAGAAAGTATGTAATGAGTATTAGGCAGAAATATGGAAATAAGATCAGGAATTTAAGACAGTAATATTTGGTATATTATCTTATGTCTAGATGTATATGGTACATTCAATTTTGATTATTAATTGATATGCCTTAAGACTCATTGAATGGTTTTATAGGTATTCCGTCATAGGAAGATAAAAGACCTCATGATCAGCTGGACAGAAAGGATTGCTAAATATTTAAATATTTGAAATTTAGGAGAATATATATGGAAATAGACTTTTGTAATAAACTGTGTATTATAAGATTATGCATTTTGGGTTTTTAAAGGGATGGACATGTGTGGGATCATTTATTATTAATTAATGTTAATATATTGTATTTGTAATTTAATTTCAATTAAGGTTGATATGTTATTAAGGTATCCATTGAGGGTGAGTTAATGTTGTGTATTTTGAAGTAAATAACCATTTTTATGAAATAGGGTGTAATGTGAATTACACATATGATATATTAAATTATGAATGATAATTTAAAGGAATTGAAGTATGATGAAGTCAGAATAATATCCAAGGTTAGAGGTGGATAGTTATTTTGATTTAGTGTCTGCATTTGATATATATATAAATGGATTAGGAATTTATATGATATATTAGATGATGTGTAATATTATTTTTTTAAAAATTATGAAATCTCTATATTTAATATATATATATTTTTTTTTAAATTATAAAATTTTATAAAAAGTTTTATTTGCAATTATTATATTATTTTTATGGTATGCAATGATGTGTAGGGAAAATATTTTTACAGATAAGGTCAGCCATGTTGATGGGTATGCCTTGAGGTGATAATATTGTTTAGTTTGCATACTGGAGAAGGTTTTTTTTTGGTGTAATTTTTTTTTGTAAATTATGCTGCATATTACATTTTTATCTTTGTAATAATTTTATAGCACATCACTATTTACTATTTATTTATGAACATTTTTTGTAAAGAAAAGACTCAAATTATTTTATATTGTGAAGGTATATTAAAGATTCTTTACGTATATACCATATAGCCCATTATATTCTCAATTTTTGTTACTTTGCATTCTACATTTTTGTAAATTTGTGCTAATTGTGATGACAGAGTTAGGTAGAAATGGTATATTTTTCTTAGGATACTGAGTAATTCCTAGATGTAAAATGTTATATTTTCTACATATTATATATTTGTTCTTTTATATAAAATATTAAATGTATTTATACACGTATGTATTGTAATTTTATTTAAAATCTTTGTTCGGCAAAGTTTCGCAATTATTTTTAATACCTAAAGATGGATTTTTCTATTCATTTTAATAAATATTTACAGAAATGTAGCTTTGTTTTTTTTCACATGACCGAAGGAAAATTACATGTGTTGAAATTGCATTTCACACATAGACCATGTTTTCACATTACATTATTATATGTAAAATCATTATTTCTAAATTACCAGGAATCATACCCAAGTAATGTGTATTATAGCTCATAGTTCCCAAATGTCTTAAAATGAATGAATTATTATGTTTTGCGGATATTACATTGTCCATATTAATGTTCCATAGATAAATAAATGCAGATACCCCAATGTACATGTCATTATTGATAATATGTGTTTCGCGATTATATATTGAAATGTATCGGAGATATTATATTATAAATCATCATAAGGGAAGACGATTCGACAAATTCCCTGAACGTCTTCAAAGCGCTCGATACAATTCAAAAAGATGATTCGATACAATTCAAAGGGGTGATTCGATACAATTCAAAGAGGTGATTCGATACAACACCACCACAGAGAGAGGGACGCTGGGCTTGTGAAGGGTGGGCGTGTTGTAATTGTTGAAAAAAGAAGAAATAAATTTAATATAATACATAAAATGTCAGTTATTTTCTGACAGGGGAATTAAGTTTTCCTTGGGGGAAGAAGAAGAGATGAGGATCACTGTGAGTTTTATTGTTAGGAAAAACCCCTAGTTGGAGATTGGGAGATATTGGATTAATGTGTCAGCTGTGGACCTTTGGGAAATGAAGAATTGGATAATTATGATTTATTATATTATATTATTTTTAATGGATAGATTGTTGTTGTTTTATTATGGATAAAGATAATTTTGAATAAATGGGTTATGTTAAGTATGGATCGTCGTTAATGGTCAATGTTATATAATTGAGAATAAAAGGCATTTTTGTTATATCTAAGTTAACTTGTAAAAATTATGAAAGTGGTTTTACAATTTAAAATTGAAAAGAAAAATGGGAAGCAAATTTTTCCCTAGAAAGAGAAAGGTTATTTCCATTATCCACTTTTCATCTAGACTTGAATAGATATTTGAAAACAGGTAGTTAAACCTTATTATATTTACCATGAAGAGGGGAGGTGGCATTATTTCTAACACGCCACTAAGGTTAAAATATATATAACATTAAAATGAATATTATGACCTATTCTGTTCCGTTCGTTTATATCAATTTGAATCCCGGACAAAAATAACATAATGGAAATTTTTTATTTAATACTAAAAATTGTATCTGATTATAAATTTTCAAAAAGTATTGATCCTAATCACTGATTACAAAAGCTTATTTAATTCAAAGACTATCTCAAGTAATTGAACGCTACCAAAATACTATTTATTCTAAATAATATTTGTTTATTTTTATAAATTAATTGATCCTTAAAAACTACAACTTTCATAAAAAAATATATTAGGCGGAATATAAATTATAAAGAATAAAATATATATATATTTTTATAACAATAAAATATTATATTAAAAATTATGATATACATAATCGAAAGAAATATATATATATATATTAAATATTTAAAACATAATTGTTTAATTATAACGAAAAATAATTTTTTGTGGTTAAATTCTAAATATAGTTGCAATGCAAAATATAAATAAAATTAACGAAACAGTTTTTAAAATATAATAAAAAACTATATTTGATAAACTAGGAGGGAAATGGGAGTGTTTCGAAGAAACATTTGTAGTTCCCCTTTAAGATTTCAAATTGGACTTTTTGTTTAAGAGATAGGGACTCGTTTTTGACCCTTGTCCTTAACGAAATTCTTCTACCCAATTGATTTAAGAACTTTAGGGATTGGGGACCGGGGTTTCCAAGGACGCTAAAAATTAGGGGAATAAATATAAAAGAATTAGTGAGGAATCTATATTTATTAAACTTATTGGTTTCTTGTAGTTCCAAGGGGTCGGAATTTCCGTTAGGAAAGAAGGTAACACAAGAGACGTCCCAGACAAGTCTTTTGCCCCCGTGCCAAAACGTTAAAGACATGCCGTCGGGGCGCTTACCGTCCGCATTTAGGAGACCTAATGGCTCCAAACTATTGGGGAAACCGGCCGAAATCAAAGCTTTGCCGATTAAACTATTAAGGTTGTTGTGCCTCAGGAAACGGCCACTGACTTTGAGGCACGAGAAACAATGTCTAGAGAAAGGATAAACCTGTTTGTGACAGGCAGCACAGGTGTCCACAGAAGGGATAAGGCAACCAAGCCTATGGCCAATGGCAGTTTGAAACTCATCGTCTGTGAGTAACGTTTCCTTTTTACCACTCGGAATCGCGTCTAGCCATTCATGGCCGTTAGAGTTTTTTTTTGCGTTTCTGAGCAGTTGAAGGTTAGTTAGATCGGGATACATACAAAGTTTTTCAAACGAGCATTGAAGCATAGGGACCAGGAAGCTCTTTAGATGACAGGAAACTGGCTGCTCGGAGCCTTGTGATTAGAGTAAGCCACGCTTGTTTAGCTGAAGATAGAAGGGGATCGTCCAACTCGATAAGCGAGGAAATAAAATCGGCGAAGGATATTCGAGATGAAAGAAAGCACGCAATTGCCATAAGGAATGGGGGTGAAAATCCCAGTCCACCCCGGTAAGCGGGCATAGAGGCGAGGGACCAATTGAAATCGGAAAAATTTAAGCCTAAAAGGGATTCGATAAAATGTTTAAATTTTAATTCGAAGACCTTAAGGAGAGTATTGTACTGGAAAACGGGGGAAGATTTAAAAAATGTAAGAATTTCGGTAAAAAAAGACATTTTTTGGTGAGAAAGAAGAACTGATGTTTGGAGAGATGAGGAAGATTCTTGAGTGAATTGGAAAGGGACTGGATCAAATCGTCAAAAGTTTTTTGACAAAAGGAAGTTGAAAAACCGATAGGGGAACCTAAAAGACAGAGTTCCTCGTGCGGAATGATTGTAAAATCTAAGGGAGGAATAAAATCCTTATTGTTGAGGGAGGAAATTTCACACTTTTTCCTATTTAGGGAAAGACCAATTTTAGAAGCTTCCATTTCAACGTACTCTATGGCCGACATAACGTTGGATATTGAACCGCCAAAAGAGCCATCGTCGAGATACCATAAATTAAGGTCTAATTTGAAATCAGATTTTAAATTTTTGATCAAATCATGAATCCCTATAGTAAAGAGCAAGGGACCTAGTGGATCACCTTGCTGAATCCCCTCTTCGGAGGATATGCAAAATTCCCCGAAAGGGAATCCATAACAGGAATTAAGGAAATTCCAGTATTTTTGGAAATGGTGTAAAAAAGATAGTAAGAATGCCCTCCTATGGATGGTGTTGAAGGCATTTCTGAAGTCTAACTTGCAGAAAACTTTATCGGCCTCAGTATTTATAAAAGTACGCGCAACATGTGAGGCCACTTTACACCCACCTCTCACTCCAAATCCTAACTGTGAAGGAAATAAGAAGGAACTGGCCTTAGGCCGAATCCTATTTACAATAGCCATGACGACTAAACGACGAAAGAATGACCCTATGGCTATGGGTCTAATGCCACCATCCGGTATGGTTAAAGAAACAAGACGTGCGCCAAAAATAATAGGACGAATACAAAGGGGAACTTCGCATACGAGGATATTATTGCAAAGTTCAGTTAATGCTTTCAGCAAAGGATCAATAAAACCACTATCAGAGCGTTGAATTAAATCCACAAAAAAACCAGGTCTGAAGCCGTCCAATCTATCTGTCGTCCCTTTTTTAAAGGACTTTAAGCACTTAAGTACTTCATCACAGGTAAAAGGAATAGGGGAAGAGGCATGCGGGTGAATGTTAAAAGGGGAAGCTAGTGGATGTTTTTCATAAAGTTGTTGAAAGATAGTAACGTTGATAGGTGAAATAGTATCATCGGAAGTCAATATTCGGGCAGCACCGCTAATATCTCCAAGATCTAATTTTTCAGAGATCAATTTACAACGGAAGGAGTTGGGATTTAAAGAGTTAGATGGAGAAAATTCATCGATAATCGTATTGCCAAAATTGGACACTTTCTCCTTGATTGAGGCAGATAAGTTATTTATTCTATTCTTGGGCTTAACTAAGACTCGAAAGAAGAAACTAATTAAATCTAACCACAAGGGTATTGAGGAGAAATCTGAGTTTAAATTATTCATAAGAGATGTAAGGAACCTTGAATTTTCCAGAATTGTGGCAAGCGGGTGAACTATGTTTCCCAAACACGCCATTTAAATTAAGCGAATTTTAAGCATACTTGACAACAAGAGTTTACCATGGGATGGCTTTGAAAGGGAGAAAACAAAAAAAAATATATTAACGGATATAATTTTGAATGGAAGAAAAAAAAAGAATATATTAACTAGGGAAATGGGGAAAAAAAATCCAAATTGGAAAAAGAGGAAGATACATGAACTATCCTATCAGAAGTATTATCGAGATTAGAGGGGTTGGTAAATTTAAAATAAATAAATAAACAATAATATTTATAAAATAAGACTAGACACATAAAGTATAAAAAGTATTATTAAGAACAAAAATAAAAGGGGAGGGGGGGGGGGTGGATATAAACAAGAAAAATGGGGGAAAGAAAAAATCAAAAAATTGAAAGAAAAAAGAAAGATTATGAACAATCGAAATTAGAGGGGTTGGTAAATTTAAAATAATATTAGATGTATAAAGTATAAGGGGTATTATTAAGAACAAGAAAACAGGGGGGGGGGGGGATTAAAAATTTAAGAAAAATAATAATAAAAAAAAAAGATTTAGTTGATGGAGTATAACTTTAAATTATGATATTGCATAACAAAGAAAAATAATAATAAAAATAAGATTTAGTTAATGGAGTATAACTTTAACTGATATTATTGCATATCATGAGAACAAAAGGATTAAGTGGACGGGTAGGACATAAAATAAAGATTAAGTTAATGAGGTATAACTATAAATGATATTATTGCATAACATGGGAACAAAAGAATTAAGTGGACGGGTAGGATGAAGGAATGCAACAATAAAAAATGGAAGTTAGCAAAGAAAATTTTTAGGAAATATTAGGGTGTAGTGGGAAGATTTGGCAAATAAAATGGGACATTTATAAATGACCTTAATAAAAAATAAGAGGTTTAACTTCATAGGGAAATTTTCGGGGTGTGATGTTATAGAAGGGAGGGGGAGTTAGGAATAAAAGGAATAATCGCTAAGGAAAAATTAACTACGCCGGGAAAATTTTTAGTGTGGAGTGAGAAGGTTTGGTTAATAAAATGGATCATATCATTAGAATTTAACTTCGTCGGGATTTTCAGGGTGTGGGGATAAGAAGAGGTTTGGTAAATAAAATAGAGATTTAAGTAATAATCGGATTGAACTTTGTCGGGAAAATTATTAGAATGTGGAGACATGGGAAGGTTTGGCAAATAAAAAAAATAATCGAAAATAAAGGAAAAACAAGAAATCCAAAAGAAAAAATTAAACTTTGTCGGGAAAATCTTTAGGGTGTGGTGATGTAAAAAGAATTCAAACTTAAGGAAATTTTTCTACGGCTGCCAAATAGGGAAATCTTAAGGTTGTCTTAGCACTATTCGTTACACAAATGAAATTAAGCGCTTCTTCTATTTGATAATGAAAGTTTTGATAGGACGAGCCTCCCTCGATGGTGTTTTCCGCGAATGTTGATATGTAGTTGGAAGAGCGATAATTGATATTGGATAATAAGAATATAATATACGAGGTTCAGATACATTAAGAATATTATAATGTGAATATTATAATTTTTAATATATTTAATTCATCAAAGAAAACACAGGAGGGACTATAATCTTAAAATAGAAACTTTTTTTATTTGAAAGTTTCCAACTCCGGAAATGTTATTACATAATCCCAGTTATTTCCCTGATATTATTATTATTTATAACGTTGAAAGGAAAGTTATGCTCAAGAATAAATAAATTTATATATTTGGGTGGTATATTCTTTGCAATTTTGAAACAAACGATTTTCATTTAGTTTTTTTATTACTTTTTATAAAATTTTCTTTTACTATTTTAAACATTTTTGATAATTATAATAAATTTTTTATGTTTATTCTTCCGTTAAATAAGCATGCTAAAATTTTTCATGAGGGTTATTCCTACAATTATCATAAAACTACGAAAAATTTTAAAAGATACAAATGTACATTATATAATGCTGAAAATATTACAATGAAAATGATTATACATTGGAAAATACGCCTCATATTCATCCTATAAACCCACATGAATATCAAATTGGAAATGCTATAAGCACGATGAAAAGAAAAGCCTCTGAAACAAATCAAAATACTTGCCAAATATACGCAAAAATGTCTAAATTGTCTCCCGAATCCAGAAAAAGACTTCCGAATGAAGATAGTATCAAGAGGACACTTAGAAATCACAATATAAAAAGGTTTCCTCCTATTCCGGCAACATTGGAAGAATTAAGCATTCCAGGTAAAATGATATTTATGTCTATAAATAACTTTTTAATTGAAAATATCTTTTAATATTAGAGGATTGGGCTACAACCGGATCTCCCACGAATGAGAGATTTCTTTTGCATGATAATGGCGAAGAGAACGAATAATTATATTTGCCACCGATTATATGCTTAAAATGTTAGCCGAAACGAAAACTTGGTATATAGACGGGAATTTTAAATTGCCTCCTCATTTATTTTTGCAGCTACATGTAATTAGAATACCCTTTAAAACACTGTTTATTACAGCGGCATATTTTTTGTTATAAAGAAAAACGTATACAACGTATGAAGAAATTTTTAAGATTTTACTCGAAAAAGCCCAAGAACGGAATTTAGTCATAGATCCGATAACAATTTATATGGATTTTGAAAAGGCCGCAATCAATGCCGTCGAAAATACTCTAAGTTTCTTTTTACGATTTAATTACATCTATATACTATCGAGATATGTTAGGCCTTGATTTTAAAATGTATTTTGGACCGTGGACCTTGAAATTTTTTTAAATTCTATTTTCCTTTTTCTGTTGTTTTTTGGAATATTTTAAACGGACTTTTTATGAGTGTCGGATGAACGCACCCACCTCTAGTAATGAATGAAAATTGATAAAGACATAAATATTAAATAAAACCTATACAATAATTTTAATCTATATTTTTTCAACTTTTAGGTAGAGATATCATCATCCAAGGATGTTTTTATCATCTAACTCAATCCACTCATAGGAAGATTCAAGAATTGGGGTTAGAATCATCATATCGGAATGATCCAACGTTATGTTTATTTGCAGCTATGATCGATGGATTAGCATTCTTACCCACGATCGAGGTATGGAGTATTTAAAAACCATTGTATCGGATGAAAACAAAGAATTATTGATTTATTGATAAAAATTATGTGAATGGAGAATTGAGATATGGGAGAAACTCTCAAAGGTAAGTAGAGCCATTGTTCCCACCTGAAACATGGAATGTGTTCAACGTTACGATTGCTGGGGAAAATCGAACAAACAATGTATGTGAAGGATGGAATAATCGATTTCAGCATATTATAGGCCACAAAAAACCTAAGATATGGGAACTAATAGAAAAAATGAGGATATACATAGCCGTCAACATGGGCAAAATCGGCTAAACGAGTATTGATACATATACTCCCCCAAAAAAATCGTCGTTATGCAAAAAACAAAATATTTAAAAAAATTTATGTATTGATTTTTTAGAAGAGAGAAGGGACTTGCCTAATTTTCTCTCTTCAATTGGAAAACATATACGTTCTAGAATTGTTTCATTTGAATAATATAATTTATTATTCCCTATATCATTTAATAAAATTATAATTATTTCTTTTCTGTAAATTTTAAAAAAAATTCATAAGCAAAATAATAATTGTTAGATTCGAAAAATATAATACTCACTGCTAATAATCACATCAGGATTAGTGAAGGTCAACGGTCCGGTCCTATCTGTCTTAGACCGGGACCGGACCAATTGCCGGACCGATCTTTTTTTGAGGACCGTGGTTCAGACCGGTCTTTTTATCTTTTACGGTCCAGATCGCGGTCCGGACCGGTCTTTTATTATTATTTAAGTTTGCTTTACTATTCAATTAATATATTTTTTTGTATATTTTATTTTATGATATTTTTCTAGGTGAGTTATTTTAGATTTTGTTAATTTTTATTTTACAATATGAAAACCATAAGTTTGTCCAAGAAACATTTTACTTATAGTCACAATAAAAAACATAGAGTATGTGTTCACTGCAGTACCAAATTTAATGTATCGCCAGCAACAAGTAACAAAATAATTTTTTAAATAAAAAATAAGCAGTATTATTATTAAAATATTTTGGTTATTATTTATATAGTTATATTTTTTCTTGAGAAACTGTCTGAATAATTCATTGTCAAAATAACTTAACCTTATTCTTAATAAAATAATTAGGTACCTTAAGCAGACATCTGATAAAACATAAAATATATACTTCTAATGATAAAAATATCTCAAAAACACAATCTACTCTTAATTTTAATATGCCCTCCACAAGCATAAAATCACTTTCTTCAATACCATTGGATAAATTTTATTGTTTATATAATACTCTTATATTTAATAAAATGATAAAACAAATTAAATTAGTTCGACCGGTCTTTTTATTTAGGACCACCGTCTGGATCGATCTTTTTCTTAAGGACCGTGTTCCGGTCCAGTCCGAGGATATTGATCCAGTCCGGACCAAAGACCGGACCGTGACCTTCACTACTCTGGATGTATTTTGATTAAAATGGTCAGCATTTTTCATTACTTTTGGCAGTATTTAATTAAAATTGGGCAATAAAAAATATAATTTTGCAAGTTTTATATTGATTTTGCATTCAGTCAGTTAAATTCTTAAAGTAGGTAAATACTTCAGTAAAATAATTTTTATCAAATAGAGGGGATCAGATTGAATTGAAATTTCCTATTTCGCCACAGAATTTATAATTATATTATTTAATAGCTTATCCTTAATAAAATCAAAAAAGCGCTATTTAAGAGTTAGTAAATTGTGAAAAGCCTAAAAATTTGATTTTAAATAAATATCTAAAAAGTTGATTAAAATGTGTAAAGGTGAACTAGATTTATTTAATTTTCGTTTTATTATTTAAAACCTCAAATCCTCGAAGGAATTTGACTTTAAAAAACATCTCTATTTAATTAAATAGTGCAGAGCAGATCCGGGTCAAAAAAT